CATCACGTATCCATGCATGTCTAACAGTAAGTTGAAATATGTAACATCTTGAGTGGAATTTATGATTTATTTGCGTGATATTCACCGCAAAAATCCGTCCATTAATAAATAAAAAATGGTAAGCAGTTTGTCACAAGAAGATTTCACCGAAAATTTGGAAACTACATGTGAACATTGGCAATACAAATACGTTAAGAAAGTGTAAAATACTTTTACGGACAACTATATGAATCGATCATTATTGTATGGTTAATTTTAAAAATAATAAATAACGAACAGCATTTATTTTTTATTTATATTTTTATCGTAATATCAAAATAATTTTGGATATAATAAAAATTGGAAAAATGATTATTTATTTGCATTTATTTTAAGTGAATTAATAAAAGACAGTTGAATACTGTTAAAGGATATAGACGTGAAGGTTAGGTCAGTCTCAATAGGGCTCAAGGGTTGAATTAGGGTCATATCAGTCTTAATGGGGCAAGTCGTAAAATGGTTTATCGGTCTATATAAGGCCTGGAATTTGTCCTATCAAATTTTCAGTCCGAAAGTGATAGTTTAAATTTTGGTAAAAAAATATCTCTTTCACTAAACAATAGTTGACGTATATATATATATATGTATTCTAGCCCGAAATGTCTCTTTTTCCAAACAAATGGGATAATTTAGCAACAATTCCGTCACTTTGCAATCGAAATAGAAATTACTTAATTATGCAAATAATATTTAAATCAATTAGGCACTATTGATGAAGAAATTGCTAATGCGTTTGTTAACCTGAATGGATTTGATATCTAATAGGTATGGCAGTTCATTGTGGCAGTAAAAGTACGCCTTTTATTTAATTTAAAAAACATAAATCTTGTTGATGTGTTGTTCCGAAAGGTTTTATTTAACAAAATTTTACTCGACGTCAAAAGTCGTAACTTCCTTTCACTGCTTCGCCTTGCTTTTTTTTTTATTTTATATTATCATTTTAAAGTTTACTAATTATGAAAATTAAAGGGTTTGACTGTATTCTTTATATTTAATTTAATAAATATACCGTGAATACAGAAACCTAGGATATAGAGATACACTCTAAAGTTCCAAAATAAAACCAATATGTATCAAAATAAAATCAATTTATTGAGAAATTCGCAATTAAAATTAAGGGGATTCAGTAGTACACGCGCCGTAGAGTAAAAACATGCTTATCGGTTCTAGATACCATTAGTTTAATATTTGGAATAGAGGTTTGAAATTTTGTAGTGAAATAGATAAAGCTTTGATCTAAATCTTGTCGAAGACCATTTTTTAATTTTTTAATTTCTATTGAAAGTACGTGCCCTACAAGAAGCATCAACTTTAAGCACTTGTAAAACCTTTTAATGACCATATTATTGAAAACCAAAAACGTGCCGAGTTAGTGTGAACCTTTGTCTGTCACTATACAAAAAATTAGATATTTATCTCGCAGCGTTAAATCACAATGTTTAGAATAGAAACCCATGCTTTCGGAAAAATTCACAGTAGCCACGAGCGGTCTATTGCGGTCAGTCTCCCTTAACAAATGACACCGAATCCTTTTCTGTTTACCGATAGCAACGGAACTGGTTTGCAATCTTTTCACCCGCGAATAAGGAAACTGTGAATAAGGAACTTTTACTGTACTTACATCCTAATATTATAAATGCCTATGTGACTTTATCTGGTTGTTTATTACCATATCACGCTTTAACTATTCAATCGATCGCCATGAAATTTTGTACACAAATCGTTAGGGGTACAGAAAAGGATATAGGCTACATTTTATCCAGAAAAAAAACTGTTCCCTAGGAATGGAAACGTTAGTTTTATGTGGTCGTCGATGATCCTTGACGCGTATTTAGGTCATCAATGCGAGCAAAGCCGCGGGTGAAACCTACCATGAAATTTTGTACACCCATTGTCAGGGATACAGAACAGGACATTGGGCACTTTTTATCCAGAAAAAATATTGTTCCCAAGGAGTAGAAACATCAATGCTATTGAAGCCGAGGGTAAATCCTGGTATAATAATATAATTACGTCCTTGTTCTTCAAGAATATTAATGAATCTTAACATTAAAAGGACCAAGTTTTCTAATTGTAAGTACCAATCTTGATTTATGCCTAAGTAAGTACAATAACTGGTTCATGAAATGAAGAATCTATTGACCCATGATATCCCACATGTCGAAAGTTTCAATCTTTTTAATTATTTTTGGCTTTAGCATTAACCAACCCTTTTTCTTGACACAATTGACCTAACAATAAGAGCGATCTCCTGGTTCATTTAATACTTTCAGACCATAGCCTCCTAAGGTATCTTCCCGTTCCTACCTTGACATTAAGTCATCCACGATTAATTGAATTTTTATTGATTAAGGTAACCTTATGGCTTTCTAATGTCATTATAAAAAGTTTCCATTTCTTCATCCAAACCATCACAGACAGGCGCGTACATTTGAATGAGGTTGCTTGCAATGGGTGATGGTTTTGGATCTCCTCGTGACCTTCGTTATAATATATAAACCCTAGGGCGTTTAAGTATCTTGTTTCCTCGTTACGTAACTAGTATATTAAGTGATGCATTTTTATTATGATGGCTCCTGTTTTTGACCAACGTATCTTGCTGACTCCCAAAATGGTTATTTTATTAAGTCTTTTCATCTATCTGATCGTGGTACGAATTTCTCGACACTCCAACATGCTGCGAATGTTCCAGCTTGCTATTTTTCACATGATCGACTTGGGGACTGCTAGCAACCTACTAATAAGCTTCCAGGGACTAGGAGTCCTGGATTGGTTATTCTCGATCATGCTAAAAATTATCCTGGGAATGTCCTTGTAGACCTTTTATACAGTGGCTTCCCTTTGCCTGTTATAGTTATCCTCTTTTAGGAAGGACTTCTCCTTCCATGGGCAAGAGGGAACTGCTTATACCGGCAGTTATTCGGTCGACAGAGCCTCCTTGGTTCTCTAGCGGGGTGCACCACGTGCAGGAGAGGTTGTCATTTGGACCAGCAACATCTTATGCTGTCGTCCCTTACACCCCATCATCATCATCATCATTATAAGGTCATCAGTCCTAAGAAGACTGGGTGGACATGCAACTTCAATCTTTCCTATACTGAGCTAATCTTCGCATTTCCTTAAAACTAGAACAACCCCCATCCTTAACTATTTGCGAACAGTAATCTAATCTAGGTCTACCCCTACCCCTCCTAACTCCCGTTTCTGCCTCTAATATGTCTCTGACTGGACCTTCAAACTTGAGAAGGTGTCCTACCAACCTATCTCGCCTATTTCTTATTGACTTCCATAGAGACCTCTGTTCTCCTATTCTTTCTAATATCTCATCATTTCTAACCTTCCCTATCCACGGCATCCTTAACATTCGCCTGTAACACCACATTTCGAACGCTTCTAATCTTTTCTTTTCCGCCGCGCCCACTGTCCATGTTTCGCACCCGTACAACGCCGCGCTCCAAACATACCCCTTTAACAACCTTTTTCGAATTTCTTAATTAACCGTTCGCGAGCATAGAAGTGACTTCTTTTTATTGAAGGCGACATTACCTTGCGCTATCCTCTGTTTTATATCCCTACTACTCCTTTCGTCCTGACTTATCTGACTTCCTAGACACCTAAAATCAGCAAATTCTTCTAATTTTTCGTCTCCTATCTTTATATACGCTCTTTCCCTACTTTTTCTTTCCTTGCATACCAGTATTTTTGTTTTACTTTGATTTATTTTCATACAGTACTGATCTGTCAGTACCGCTTCCATTTTATTTAAAGCTATCTCTTGATCCTCCTTGCTAGATGCTAATACTGCTGTATCATCTGCAAATCTAAGCATACTAATCTTTTGCCCGTGTATCCCTTCAGTTATACTGTCTTTAATGATGTTGATCGCGTCTTCGATGTATAGATTAAAAAGTAGCAGTGACAGTGTGCATCCCTGTCTGACTCCCTTCCTAATATNCTTTACAGGGTGCGTTACCACCCCTGGTCTGAAACCATGACATATCCATAACATGCAATACGCATAGGTTTAATACACCAACATATGCATGTACAGTTGAAGGTATCTTTGCAAGTCCTTACAGAAGAATAAAACCTTTCGCAAGGGAATTGGGATTCGCCGTGGTCCGGTGGGTTTCAGGAGTGAAATGGAGTTAAACCCAATGGACCTCGGCGAATCCCAAAAGTTTTCAGGTCGAACATGGACTAGAGCCACTAAAGCGTACGTTCTAAACAACAATAAAGTTTGATTTGTTTTGATTAAGTCTTTATAACAAAATAAAATGTTTCGTCACTTGGAAAATACTATAAATGGAGCAGTAAACGCCATCTGTAGCACGATGCTACATTTTAGGATTACGTATGCTCCAACAAGGTCCACTTGTGTGGATATCTACTTGCGCAGCCAACCTTAACGTGATATGCACGTTAGCTTAATCGAATAAAATAATTCGAAGTGGTCTGTATTCTGTCGAAACTGCCAGACGCGAACCGCGATTTCAATCTTTTTGGATCTCATCAGCGCGTCGCAGGCAGCTCCGACAGAACACAGACCAACTTTTACCTGCTGTCTTAACAGCGCGTTTCAGAAAATACCACAAATGGCGCGGTAAACGCCATCTGTAGTACGATGCTACATTTTAGGATTACGTATGCTACAACAAGGTCCACTTGTGTGGATATATACTTGCTGAAAACGAATCCCGCGCTGATGAGATCCAAAAAGATCGAAATCGCGATCCGCGTCTGGCAGTTTCGACAGAATACAGACCACTTCGAATTATTTTATTTTCATTTGTTTCGTCACTTGTTTATTATTATTCATTAATTTAGGTTTTTCTATCAAAATTAGATAGGTACATTTGTTTAGTTGTTTATTTAAGGTCCTGGCTGGTACCCCTTTATTGGTAGTTCTCACGTCTTTACAAGACTGGCAAGATCAGAAGGAGGGTCCCATTTGGCACTACAAAAACTATGCAAACAGTACAACACAAACGTGTTGGGACTCAAACTGGGTCCCGAAAAAGTAGTTGTAGTATCTTCTTATCCGGTGGTAAAAAAAATATTATTAAGCGAAGAATATGACGGAAGACCTGACAACTTCTTCATTCGATTGAGATCAATGGGTACCAAAAAAGGTAACATTTTCCAGTTCGATATGAAAGAGATATCGTATTGATAAAAAATTTTAAGGCATTACATCTGCTGATGGAGAATTGTGGACGATTCAAAGACGATTTGTGGTTCAACATTTGCGTGATTTGGGTTTTGGCAAGGGCTACATGGAGGACATGGTCAAACAACAGTTACTTCACATTTTAGATGTTATCGAACAAAACGAAGATCACGTTGTGATGGGCGAAATTTTGTCCAAACCGATCATGAATATACTCTGGGCCATGACAGCCGGCTCTGCCATACCTGAGGCTAAATTGAATAAATTGTTCAGTTTGATGGCGAGAAGAACTAAAATATTCGATATGGCGGGAGGTAAATGATAAAGGGGATGGTTTTCAATTTAGATTTAATTACGACTAATTTTGCATTTAATAATTTAAGAAAACAAGTTATTACGAGCAATTGTTTTGATTGTCAAGTATTGTTTTGTCTACAGGTTTGTGAGGTATTGTTTTGTTTTTGGGTATTGTAAGCAATTGTTTCGATTATTATTGACGAATTGTTGTTCAGGTATTGTGAGCAAATGTTACTGATGTACTGTTATTAGTTATTGTGAACAATTGTTTTGAATGTTGTTGTCTAGCACTTGTTTATTCGTTGTTTTGTTTCATTTGCCTACTGTTTTCTAGGCATTTTGAATCAATTTCCGTGGTTGAGATTTGTAGCACCAGAGAAAACTGGTTACACCTTGATGCAAAATTTCAACAAAGAATTGAAGGAATTCTTTATGGACATAATAAACGAACATAAGGAATCGTGGCGGGAAGACAGGAAGGACGATGTCATATATTCCTTTATAACAGAAATGAAAAAGAAAAGGGACGACCCTCACACAACATTTACAGGTAAACTAATGAGTCACAACGTTAAGAATTTTTTTTTTATCATCCAAAGGTAACAGCAGTAGGAATTTTGTTAATTTATAACAGATACAGAACAATTATCCTACATTATTAATATTTTATCTATAAACTTATCAAAATATCTACAAACATTATCTTAAAAAAAACTCTTCAGACATAACACCTACCTTAAAAATCGATGAAAATATTCTTTCAATTGTTTGTTTCATATGCACCAAATTGTCTTTTGTTTCCGCGGCACACGCGTTATTAAATTTATTCGTTTAAACGCCACGAAATTCGTATAGTACTAGAATGAGTAAAATAATGCGATCTGTATCTGTTATCTACCTTCGTCCCTTGCCCTCTCCAAGTGAATGTCCTGCTCAACTCTTATGTCAATAATGCTCATAATGTTCTCAGACCACTGTTAGGACATTTGAAGGGCGTAGCGACAAACAAACACCGCAAAAAACACATTCTGTACAAAAGATTCAGACGAACAGTCATTTATCGAGATTTTAACTCATTGGCGTAGAATTTGTGTAATTATAAAGGATAATATGAATAACTTTGAAGGACCATTAAAAAACAAAAAAAAAGTATAAAAAGCTTAAATATATATTTGAAATATTATGGTTACTATGGCTCCTGTTGAAGGACTTTGAAAACGGATGTACATTTTGATTTATTTAAATTTGTAGAGGATCAACTGGTTATGGTCTGTGCAGATATTTTTATAGCAGGGGGAAAAACAACGAGCACTTTTCTCGATTTTGCTTTTCTTATGATGGCATTGCATCCAGAAGTTCAACACAAAATTCATAAAGAACTAGATGGTTATTTGAACGGAAAGAAAACTGTCGATTTTAGTGATAAACAAAAGTAATAAAATTTCTATTTTCCATAAAACAAAAGTACAATACTCAACAAAATTATCTCAACAACGAAAAATTGTTAAAAATTATCCTCATTTTGAAGAATTATAGTTGAAACTTTAATTTGTCTCATTCCTATGCTTATTAGGTGACAAAAACTTATTGTTTTCTAAATATCGCTAGAAATTTTACTGATTGTTAATGTGTTGTTTTGTTTTAATTGTCTACTGTTTTGATGGTACTGTAAACAATTGTTTCCATTATTGACGAATTGTTGTATTTCATTTTTTTATTGTAATTAAGCAATTATTTTTTATTGTTGATGCATTGCTGTTTTGTTTTTATTTTGTTTTTTGGGTATTGCTAGCAATTGTTTTCATTATTAATGCATAGGCTTCTTTTATCTGTTCATTTTTAATTAGTTATGAACTTCTAACTAATGTCCGGGTATTGCGATCAATTGTTTAAATTCCTACGATCATTTAAAAATACGTCAAAAATTTTTCGTTGTAGCGATAATTATTTTTGGTTGCTACAGGTACAAAAATAATCCAATAATAAATTTTACTTTTAAGTTTGCCCTACACGAAGGCTGTATTATTTGAGATAGAGAGGTTTTGTCATGTGACCCCTATTACGGGTCCGCGAAGGGTTTTAGCCGACACCGTATTGGAAGGATACCGTATTCCAAAGGTACAAAAATTGTAATGTTTTCGATTAGTAACAGAATTCACTACAGATTTTGTTACAATTCAGGAAACTACAGTATTGATAAACAGTTATTCTGTACACAATGATGAAGAGTTTTGGAAAGACCCTCAAAACTTTCGACCTGAAAGATTTTTCGGGGATGATGGTAGTAATATGAACACAGAAAGGCTCATACCTTTTGGACAAGGTAATAAAAGGGTTTTAATTATTAAATGTGGAATTTACTGTCCAATTGTTTCGGCTCGTTGAGCCTTTGTCAAAAGTCTCTCAGGTCCTTCAGTATCTTAGGGACTAAGTAAGGTATTGAACTATCTAGACACTTTGAAAAAGGCTTAACAGGTCAAATTAGAATTGCTTTTAATGGTTCACTAAATATAAATTTACTCTAGGACAATTTCTACCTGTTAAGTCTTTGTCAAAAGTCTCTCAGGTCCTTCAGTACCTCAGGGACTAAGTAAGGTATTGAAGTATCTAGACACTTTGAATAAGGCTTAACAGTTCAAACTAAAATTCCTTTTAATGGTTCACTAAACATAAGATTTACTCTGCAACAGTTTTGGACTGTTAAGCCTTTGTCAAAAGTCTCTCAGGACCTTCAGTGTCTCATAAACTGAGTAAGGTACTGAAGTACCTAGACACTCTGACAGGGTTAGTAGGCCAGAACAAAATTGCTTTTAAGGTTCATTAAATATAGGATTTACTCCAAATGGTTTTGGCCTGTTAAGCTTTTGTCAAAAGTCTCTCAGGTCCTTCAGTACTTCAAAGACTAAGGTCAAAAAGTACCTAGACATTCTGACAAAGGTTTAACTAAAATTATCTACAAAATTAGTTGTAGGATTTTCTCAACAATTGTTTCGGCTTGTTGAGCCTTTGTCAAGAGTCTTTCAGTTCCTTAAATATCTCAAGGTACTGAAGTACCTAGACACTCTGACAAAGACTTAACAAGTGGATACAAAGTTAGAAGTAGGATTTTCTCAACAACTGTTTCGGCTTGTTATGCCTTCATCAGAGTCTCTAAGATACTGAAGTTTTAAAACGTTACCTTTGAATTTAATTTTGAAAGGAAATTCGAGTAGATCTCTTTGTGTGACTGCCATAGCCCTTTAAAAAAATCATTTACTAAGCACATCACAATATTCTTTTAGGAAAAAGAAGATGTTTCGGGGAAGCCCTGGCACGTAGTTGTATGTTTATATTTTTCGCTGGAATTTTGAAAAAGTACAGAGTTGAATTTGCCCCTGAATCCCAGAAGAAAGTCCGAAAAATTTTTGTACCCGGTATAATATTAACCCCGGAACCCTACGTTTTAAAATTGACCAAAAGAAAAGTGTACTGACTTTTTAATGTTGCACGTAAACATTAATAAATCTTTCGAATTATGTTTGCTTAACGGTCTATTGCTGCAGAAATATAAATATGAGTAATTATTTATTATTGCTATTATTATTATTATTATTACAGCAATCTGAGACGTTAATGTGGTAATTTCTGTAAAGAAAAAAAAAGAAAGTGATAGTTAATAAAGATGATAGTAATAAGTATCTATAATGTACATAATCCGCGGTAATGTACACCACAAGTATGGGATTATCTGCCGGTCTAATACGACAAATAGAAATTGACGTAATTAATCAATAGATATTAGAAATGCACTTGGTAAAACGATTCTAACATTCCAGTTGATTGCTACTTTTTTTCTTCTTTGAGAGGGGTGGTAACGCACCCTGTAAAAATGTAGTACACCGCAACGTCATGGTATAAGTACCTACTTATTTTGGCTCATCTTCGAATTTTGCCTGCTCCAAATGATGGATTAAAGAATCTGTATCAAATTTTGTGTGAAAAACAAAATTAAGTTGCGGACGCATTCCGAATATTGCCTGTGACATATGGTGAAGTTACCTTGGACCAAAGCAACGTTTATCGGTGGTAGAAAATGTCCTCAGAGGGCTGAGAAGATGAGAACGACGAAGAGGGTGCCGGACGCCTGAGCACGTCAACAACAGACGAAAACATCGATGAAGTGAACAAAATAATATTGGCAATTGTTAGAGAAGTTGTTGAGGACCTAAACATATCGATTGGCTCCTGTCTTTCGATTTTTACCAATGATTTGGGCATGACACGGATCATATATGAAGATTGGAAAAACTTTGGCGGTTGTTGTAGAACAAACAAAATAGCTCAAAACCCCAACGCCAAAACGCGACACTGTAGTTGTCCGAAGCACTTTTCGGTAACAAAGTTACCTTCTTCAGGGACTGAAGTAAACTAAACCTAAATGAGAACTAATCCTAATTTATACTGAAAGTTGTTAAGGTTCAGTGAACATGACCCGAAGCCAACAAGGTAGATGTTCAATGGACCTTAACATCATCATCATAAACGTAATTAAACTAAACTAAATAGCGGAGATCCAGGGATGGGACCGTTGTCATTGTTAAGAACAATTTGTTTAT